ACTGGAATAATACGCGCTCTTTTCTTTCTTTACTTTATGGTCGGCTGCTGCACACCGTCATGAGAGAAGTGTTTCCCTCCTGCTTGCTTCTGTTGCTTGCACTCGGTGCCGGCCCTGCGGCTGTGCGTTTCACGGAATTCACGAAAGGAGGAGTGGAGAGACAGGCCGGATGCCGCATGAAATGTGAGGGTTGTTGTGTGGGCTGGTGGAACAGTACGATTTTTTTTCTTGTGAGGGCATTGTACGCATGTATGTATGAACACAGACATGCTGTGCCGCATGGCGTATGAAATGAAAATGTTGCTGAGGTGTATTTTTTTCTGGGCGGAGGGACTCCTGTTGGACACTTAACTCCTTTTTTTATTGTTTTGGTATTGCCTTTTTGCTTCTGATTTGCAGGTCGGTGTGCGTGCTGCCGCAGGGCTGCTGCCGTTGTTTACTTTGCGCGTTGTTGTGTGACTTGTCTCTTCTTTGCTTTCACGCTGCGTTGACGGGGAGTTGGTTTGTGCTGAAGGCTGCAGGCAAGTGACAGGAGTGATGGCGATGATGACTGGCCGTGTGCTGCTGGTGTGTGCCCTCTGCGTGCTGTGGTGCGGTGTTAGTGTGGTGGCGGCCGATGGTGCTGGTGGTGCCGACGGCAGTGCGGATGAGTATTTTGTTTTGCGGGACGGCGCGCTCAGCTGCGGAGGGAGTGCGCGGAGGCGTTCGGCAGGAGGACAGGAGGCGGTGCGAATATTTCTGCCGTGGAGGAATGCGTGCGTCGGGGGATGGACGGTGTGCGTGCCGTTGTGGATGGCCGTAGCCGTTGGAGGCGTCAACACTCCGCTGTTGTCGCTGCTGTTGATTCTGATGACAAAATTGGCGAGGGCAGCGATGGCACATTGAAGGGATTATCTTCTTCAGACCAGATGCCACAGGCGGGACAAGGTGGAGAAGAAGGACAGGAACATACAGGTTCACTGGAAGTGACGAATAAGTTGGGAGGAAACGAGGATTCACAAATAACAGGCGAGCGGAATGTCAGTTCAGATGCCGATCGTCCCAAACAAACTGGGAGTCAAGTGCCAGCAGGCGGCCAACCGGAAGATGAGGAAGGCACGAAAAGTCCCCAACCGCCACCACCACCTCCAGCAGAACCACTACCACAACTGCCACGACAACCACCACCAGGAACAAACACATTACAGTCAGAAGAAACACATCCAGCAATTACAGCGGAAAAACATCCAAAGCCACAAGACGGAGGTCACTCACACGAAACGAAGATGCCACAAACAAAAGGCTCAACAAAGCACGGGGAAGGAGCATCCTCCTTGCAGTCACCGGAGAGCGTATCGCATTTGAGTCGAGAGAGTACAACACCATTATCTACCTCCACAGACAGTAGTGGCGATGCCGGAAGCACGGTGGAGAACAGTGGTGCTAACAATCCCACACCTCCTGCCGCCTCAGTGACACAACATGATTCCGAGGGAGATACTGGCCCCGCTGCTCTGCCAGCCAGCAACACCGAATTGCAATCAGAGGAAATACCCAACGCGGGTATAATTGCCACGACACATGATGACGTCAACGACAGCAGCCGTGCAGCTCCTACTGCTGAAAGGACTACCGCTGGCACAAGAAGCACTCAAACCTCTGGTGATGCGGGTGACCTTGAACGGGCCAATAACGACGACGTCAATGATGACGTGGCACGCAACGGTAAGACCGCCGAATTTGAAGCCGCCTGAGGAGACAGGAACACTGAGGCAGATAATGATGAGAGATACACAACAGTACCAGAAAACGCCACCAATAAAACAATCAATACAGAGATCACAGCTGACAGTGACGGCATCACCGCGGTGTCGCACACCACCTCCCCTCTTTTTCTTCTTCTTGTTGCGTGTGCGGCTGCTGCTGCGGTGGTGGCCGCGTGAGAGTGAGTGTGAGAGAGCCGTGCACCGCCCGCACACACACTCGTCCTTCTCTCTCTGTGCGTGTCCCCTTGCATGGACTCTCGCCCTCACCTCACCCCACGAGGCACAAACAATAATGTGCCCATTGTATATATGCATGCACACCCATGCAGGCCCGTTGGTGCTCTCTTTTGCACGACACGCACCGCTGCCGTCCTGCCTGGCTGCATGGGCGGAGCACCGTAACTGTTTCTGTTTTGTTTCCATTGCATTGAGTGGGCGACCTCTCTCTCTCTCCCTCTGTGTGTGTGTTTTGCTTTACGGGAGCAATGAGAGTGTGTGTGCGCTGGTCGTCCCACGCTTCGGCTTTTTGTTTTGTTTTCATTGTGTTGTTGTTGAGTGCACCCATTCCGCGGCTGCGTGCGTGTGATGGTAAGAGTAATCTGCGTGTGTGCTATCCGCTTCTCCCTATCTTTGCTTTGTTGGGACTCTCTTGTGCCGCACAGCTGCTCTGCAAGTGTACACGCTGACAAGCGCACTAGCAGATGCACACGCCATGTTGCGCACGCTGTGGGGCGGCGTGAACGCTGAGGACGCACGCACGTACACGATTCTTGCTGCGGCTGCCCTTGCGAGGAGGGATGACGGATGACCGCGAATTGTTATGTTGCCGTGCTGCGGCGTGGTTTCCTAGGCTTGCTGCCCATGGGCGGCGTGGCGTTTTGGTGTCTGGGATTATTGCGGATGGGCTTCAGCCCAGCAGCTGCACGGTTTGATGTGTTCCTCCCGCTGTTCGTACGCCGACGGAGGATTCACCGGCTGTGCGGGGCGATGTGCGGGTGCGTTGGAAGAGACAAGAGTAAAACGACTGGCGGCAGCGCGTGTGTGCCGTGAAGGGCGGCTGTGTTTTTATCCTGCTGGTTTTTCTTTTTGTGAGGGCGTTGTTCAGTGTGTGCTGGCGCGTGACGAATAACGACGTGCCGGGCGTGGCTCCTGCTGCTGCTGGTGATGACCGTCGCTGTGTGTTCCCGCTGCATTGTTCATCCTTCTCGTTTCATGTGTCTGCGTGCGTGAGTTGTTGTTGAGGGTGACTGCGGCAGGGACGATGATGATGCCACTCACTGTGGACGCTGGCGGTGTTCACTGTTTCACTCCTTTTTCTTAACTTCTCTCTTACCCACACACAAAGGAAAGAAGTTAATAACAAGCGCTAATCGCCACTGTGAAATTGTAAGGCACTGAAAGGACCAACAGCACACACACCGCCCACACACACACATTTGTATGCTCTCACGTGTTGCTGCTGTGGAGGCACCCCGCACACACAACCGTCGCCGCGTGACCGGATCCAGCGGGAGGAGGAGGGAAGGAGGAGAGAGTGAGCCGCAGAGGCCCAACATGTCCCGGCATCTCTTCTACTCTGCGGTGCTCCTCCTCGTCGTGATGGTGTGCTGCGGGAGTGGTGCTGCGGGAGTTGCGGGGGAGCCAGCTGTATCAACGTTTAAATGGAGGGGCATCAATGAGAGTGGAGGTGAAACTGTGGACTCGTTGGGTGCTCCCAGCCTTCTAAAAGTGGGGAATGACGTGTTTGCCGTTGCCGAGGCGCAGTGCAAGAAGGAGGCTGGTGGTGTCAGTTTTACTGGCGTTGCATCTCAACTTCTCACGAAAAAAACTGCTGACACACCGGAGGAATTGTTTAGTGATGCCTTAAAGAAGACACAAGTACTGGAGGAAGGTGCTCCCGGAGGTCAAAAGAAGGAAGTGGATGTGAGCCGACCAACAACTGCTGTGAAGGGGAATGATATTTACATGCTTGTTGGACAGCACAGCAGTAAAGATTGTCAGAACAGTGGTGCAGGCGGCTGTGAACTTTTGCTGGTGAAAGGGAGCGTCAGTGGTGAGGGTACAAATAACAAAAAAATTGACTGGAAAGTTACTGAAAATCCCCCGCAAGGACTTTGTGGCGCACAGCTCGATTCCTGGACAAGGCTGATTGGAAGCGGTGGATCGGGTGTTGAGATGAAGGATGAGACTCTTGTATTTCCTGTGGAAGGCACGAAGAAGGCGGAGGACGCTGAAGAGGGTGTGAAGACTGTCTCACTGATCATACACTCGAAGGATACTACGAATTGGACGCTGTCGAAGGGGATGTCTGACGGTGGCTGCAGCGATCCCTCCGTCGTGGAGTGGGAGGAGGGAAAACTCATGATGATGACTGCGTGTGCTGGTGGCCGCCGCAGGGTGTACGAGATCGGTGACAAGGGGGAGTCGTGGACGGAGGCCCTCGGGACACTCTCGCGCGTGTGGGGCAGCAACAAAAAGGACGGACAAGCGAAGGCCGTTAGAAGCGGGTTCATCACAGCGACGATTGACGGTGTTGATAATAAAAAAGTGATGCTCGTCACTCTGCCGGTGTATGCCGGGGAAGGCAACGAAAAGGGCAAGCTTCATCTTTGGCTGACGGACAATACGCACATTGTTGATATTGGGCCGGTATCCGGAGAAGATGATGACGCTGCCGCCAGCTCCCTGTTGTACAACAGTGGAGAGAACACTAATGAGAAGAAGGAGGAGTTGATTGCACTATACGAGAGGCAGAAGAAGGAAGGGAAGCCATCACCCGGTATGGTCTCTGTGTTTCTGACTGAGAAGCTGAAGCGTGTGAAGGAGGTGCTGGCGACCTGGAAGGAGGTGGACGGCCGTGTCTCCCAGCTGTGCACCTCATTAATTGCTGAGAAGGAGCGTACCTCAACTGGCGATGTCTGCAACGCTGATAAGATCACGGCTGGGCTGGTTGGCTTTTTGTCCGGCAACCTCTCCGGTGACACATGGAGGGACGAGTACCTCGGCGTGAACGCCACAGTAAATAATAAAGAAGGGGCAGCGGCGTCAACAGTGGCCAGCACGAAAAATGGTGTGACGTTCACGGGGCGTGGCGCAGGGGCGGAGTGGCCTGTTGGCAAGCAGGGGCAGAATCAGCTGTACCACTTTGCGAACTACAACTTCACTCTTGTGGCGACGGTGTCCATCGACAATGTGCCGGAGGAGGGAGACACCCCCATTCCGTTGGTGGGTGTGCGTGAGGGCAGTAACGGAGAAAACAAACTTATGGAGTTGTCGTACGACGGCGGAAAGAAGTGGCATGTACTGTGCTGTGACGGAAAAACGACGACGGAGCTCAGCAGCACTTTTGGGACAGATACAACTCAACACGTGGTCATTTTGTTGAAGAACGGCACCCAGGGCTCCGTGTATGTCGATGGTCAGCGAGTGGGTGGGAATGGAGAATGTGCATTGGGAAACGGTGAGTCGAAAGAGATCTCCCACTTCTACATTGGAGGGGATGGAGAAAACGCAGACAACAAAGAAGGCGTCTCTGTGACTGTGACGAACGTCCTGCTGTACAACCGCCCGTTGAGTGACACTGAGATCGCCGCCTTCAGCCCGAATAAAGCTCCTACTCCACCTGCGGTGGATGAGCCTTCTCAGGGAACCGCGATTCGATCGTCTCCTGGTGGTCAAGGAAGGGAGGAACCGAGACAGTCGATGGGGAGCAGTGGTGTGAACGGTGTATCCGCACCAACAGTGTCCAGTGCCAAGACTTCCTCAGGAGGAGAGGGGTCCGCAACCCAGTTGGTGTCAGAAGAATCTTCCGATGGAACTCAAACTGTGGGTGGTGGTTCTTTTCCTGATGGCGAGCCAACGGTGGAGACAAGTGAAGGAGGAACGGATGGGCAGAAGGAGAAGGAGATCCACGCACAGAACGGGGACGTAAAGGCTGCGGCCCTCAGCAGCAGTCTCGGAAATGTGTCGCAGGGGAATAACAGCGATGCCGGCACCATGCGTGAGAGTGGACTGCTGCCATCGCTGCTTCTACTGTTGGGACTGTGGGGGTTCGCGGCTCTGTGAGGCGTGACTGGCTGCCGCGTGGGACACTTGCGACCTCCCCTGCACGGAATTAATTCCAAGAACTAACTTTTTCCTTAAGATAATTTTCTTTTCTTGCTTTCTGTTTGTAATTCATAATTTTTTTGCGTGTTGCGCGTGTGTGCGAGTGTGTGTCCTTAAAAATCTTTTTTTTTCTGTTATTAACTTTCGTCTGTTTTTTTATTTTTCATTCCCCCATATCTTCTTTTTTTTTTGCTTTGGGGGCAATCACTATGGACGTTGTTTTCTTTTCTACTCTTTTAATTGTTTGTTGCTGCACTCTTCCTGCGAGGGGTGCCGTGTGTTTCCCGCCCAACTGCTCCACTCGCACACCCACCGACACGCTCATGACGACGGCCCTGTGCGCCTCGCCTGCTGCACGCATGAGGAGGGGCCGCGACGAACGGCGCGCTGAGGGAGCGGTGACGTGTGGGCGTGCGACGAGGGCCTGTGGGGCGGAGCACACATTTCTTCCCTCTTGTTTTGTTTCCTTGCGGCCAGGGCGGGCAGACACCCGCAGCGCCACACACACAGCCACACCCTGCCGCCGTGTTTTTAAGATTCTTTTTTTTTGCCGCGCTCACTCTCCCGATGGAGTGACGCGACTGCCGTCATGTCTGCGTGCTTCTCTCAGTCCCCACACACACGAGTGACTGAGCTCTGCGGGCCGCAATCACGCGCCGATGAGAGGGCTGAGGGGAGCGGCAACACGCAGATGACCCCATGAAATATAAACGATGTGCGGACACACAGAGGGTCGGACGGTTGAAAGACATTTAAATATATTTTTAATTTTTAAAATTTTTTGGGCAAAATATATACAGACAGTTTGGTGTGGCCACACGGCAGCCAGCTGCTTTTTTAAATTTGTGTGGAACAGTAATGGACGATTTCTTTTTTATTTATAATTATTTTGTGTGATGGGGTTTGTGTAAGATGAAGGGGATGGTTTTCTTTTTGTTTTAAATAAATCTTGTGTGAATTGCCACTGCTTGGACGGCAGTGCAGTCATGAGTTTGAGCGGTCTTCTTCTTGTTGCTTCCGCCACGCACCTCCGCTGTACGCTTTTGTGCGTCCCTCCACATACTCTGCTTCCTTTTCTTTACTTCTTTGCTTTGTGTTTCTGCAGGCACACACACACACACACAAGATGCACATTGCAGTGGATTTGAATGCACTTTTTGCAGTGCATGCTGGCAGTTGCGTGTGGCGGCTGTTTTCTTCTTCCGTGGCCATGGGGAGAAGGGAGAGGGACCGCGCACCCCGAGTCTCTTTTCCTGCGGGTGTGGTGCACCGCGTGTGACTGCGTTGAGTTGGGCTCCGTGTCCCATTGATGGCGGGATGGCAGGAAATTTGGTGCCGCGTCATGGATGGATGAGGGTTCGCTTGCTCCGTGTGCGTTGTGTGCCGGCAGCGGGCTGTGGCCGTATCCCGTTACCGTGGGACTGAACTGGAGGCGGTGGCGGCGTGCGCGTTCCTTGCGTGGATGCCGTCTCGTGGTGTGTGAACTGTGCGGCTGGGCCTGCTGTCCTCTCCTCGTTTTGCCTGCTCTCTCTCGCTGTATCCGCTGTGCCCCGTCCCTCTCCCTCTTGTTGCATTCTTTTTCTTCTGTCCCACCGAACAGCTGACTGACTCCAGCGACTCCACTACGCGTGACAATGACTGCGATGGTGACGATGACTGCGATGGTGACGGTGCGGCGCCATGTTGTTCCTTGCGCTCTTGTGCTGCTGCTGCAATTCCGTGTGCGTTACGGCTGCTGGGAGTCCTGGAGATGTATCTGGTGCTGCGGATGCGGTGGTTGTGCCGGTGGATGTGTTGTGTGCTCCGAGTGACGGCATTTTGAGCTATCGCGTGCGTGGAAGAAGTGTTCTGCAGCCGGTGCTGAGGCTCAGCATGAGAATTACACGTTCGGTGGCTTTGGTGTGTGCATGCATGGCAGGAATGGTGAGCCGGGTGCTGTGTGTCATGTGGCCAGTGCGGTGCACACATGTAGCAACTGTGCTGCCAGCTGTGCAAGGAAAGAGGAAGGGGCCACCGTTGCCTTCACGATGAATGTGACGACACATAAATACGCCGGCCCTTATGAATTGTGGTGGCGTCTATTTCCCCCGATGGAACCATCCATCCGCCTGCACGGAGCGGCGATGCTGACCAGACGGGCATCCGTCAGTTGCCGCCACCCCGTGAAGGGATGACACAAAATCTGGTGGGACAACTGCGCCGCAAGTGAATGCTGAGCCGTCACGTCAACACGAGGATCGGCGACGGTCTACGGCGGCTGACGGACCCAACACCGTCTATCCGAGTCCCGCATCCAACACGGCGACCAACACGTCCGAGACGAAACCTGTGTTTGCTTACGTTTAAAATATCAATGTGGCTCCGACACCATCCGAAAGAAGGCCCACGCCTGTCACCGAGCCGAAGGGGAACACCATTGATGATGCGATGAGTGGTTTAATAAATGCTGAGTTGCCGCAGGGAGTCGATCTATTTGTGGCGCAGACGACGCTGGTGCAGCCGAAGGATGGGATTGCTACAGTTACGGCGAGGGATTCATTTGCTTCACCCTCTCTCGTCAGTGCTGGTGGAGTAATGGCTGCTTTCGCCGAGGGTCACATGGATGCCGAATATCAACTTGGTCAATTAAGTAAGCCCTTTTCTTCTGATCTTGTTGCGGGGCACATCGACTCTGCATGGAATTGGTCCACTATTATTGGCGAGGTCAATAAAAGATACATGGAGGGCACACACTGTGCTTGGTGCAGCGGAGGGAAGGGAGAGTTTGGGTGTTGTGCTCCGCCCCACAACAATCACGAAGGGCAACAGAGTGTTTCTTCTTGCGGGAGGCTCTGATGTGTCCTACGAAGGTGGGTGTTGGAGTGAGGGCGGCTTGGAGCTGAAACTGGTTGTGGGTGATGTCACGAATCCCACGGGTGGCAAGCAGAGTGGACGGATCGAATGGGGCGACCCCAAACCACTCTCGAAACTGATCTCTTCTGCTTCTCACAAGGTGACTGGACGGAGCTCATTGCTTCTGGTGGCTCAAGTGTTCTGATGGAGGATGGCACGCTTGTGTTTCCTCTGATGGCGAAGAATGAGGCAGAAGACGTTTACTCCATGATCGTGCATTCGACGGACAAAGGCAGTATCTGGACGCTCTGTGAAGACATTTCCCCTGCGAAATGCCACAACCCCGCGTCACCGAGTGGGAGGGATCACTTCTCATGAGTGTAGACTTCGAGAATGGCCAGAGGGAGCACGAGTCGCGTGACATGGGGACAGCGTGGACGGAGGCAATCGGGAAATTCTCATGCGTGTGGGTCAACGCACGATCAGGAGTCTCTCAGAAGGAAAACATGCGTGTGGATGCCCTCATCACCGCGACCATTGAGGAACGGGAGGTCATGCTGTGCACTCAGGGAGGGCACGCCTCGAGGAAGAAAAGGTCCACTGCGCTCTGCCTTTGGGTCACGGACAACAACCGCACGCTTTCTGTTGGACCGGTTGGCATGGAAAATGCTGCGGATTAGTTGCTCACCAACACCCTGCTGCACTCGGATGGCGGTTTGCATCTTTTACAACGGAGGGACAACGGTGAGGGCCGTGTCATTTCACTTTCCCGTCTGACGGAGGAACTGAGTACAATCGAGTCCGTCCTCAGCACTGGGGCGCAAAAGGACACTTTCTTCTCCAGCCTGTCTAAACCCACGGCGTGGCTGGTGGCAGTTTTGTCCGATGCGGCCAGTGATGGCACGTGGAACGACGAGTACCTTTGCTTGAATGCAACGGTGACAAATGCAGTGAAGGACAACGATGGGTTACAAGTGACGGGACTTGAGTCCAGGGCAATATGGCCTGTGAACGCTCGGGGTGATAATGTGCGTCATGTATCTTTGAGCCACTACTTCACACTTGTGGTGTCGGTGACCATCGAAGAGGCTCCGAGTGGGAACACTCCTCTACTGACTGCGGTGTTGGCGGACACTGGGCCCAATCATACCATGGGACTGTCGTGCAGCCACAAGCAGAAGGGGGAGACGGTGTTCAAAGGCAAGACAACAACACGGAGCAGCACTTGGGTGTCGAAGAAAGAATGCCAAGTGGCACTCATGCTGCAAGGCAACAAGGCCTCTGCGCACATTGATGATCATTCGCTGGGGGAGGAAGAGGTACCGTTAACGGGCGAGAGGCCACCTGAGGTCCTGAGGTTTTGCTTTGGCGCGTGCGGTGGGCACGAATCTCATGTGACGGTGACGGACGTCTTTCCGTACAGCCGCCCACTGAATTTCACTGCGATGCGTGCACTCAAGGACAGGGTTCCCGTTCCGACGAGGGAAGCGACTCCGACACCACCCGAGAAGGTTCGAGTGGTTGACAGCGTCAGGGAGCACATTGCTGGGAATATTACCGAAGAGAAATGAATGGACACAACGCAATGCCACTGGACATGAATCCCCATTACAAAAAGTCACCTCGTAGTGTCTGGAGCTGCGTGAGTCCCGACGACCGCCTCGCCCTCTCCCAATGACGTGAAATGGACACTGCGTGATTTGAGCGGTAACAACACCGTGCGTGTGTGTGTCTTGTCTTGTGTGTTGCTGCTTCTGGGATTGTGTTTGGGGGGTGGCAGTCTTCTGAGCCGCAGAGTGTGGATTTGAGACTCCTCACGGAGAATACGTGCCGCTTTCCTCGCTCTTTTTTATGCCGCCGTTTTCATTTATTTTTTAATTTTTTGCTGTTTGTTGATTCTTTCAATGTTTTTGCTTCTCAATGTTGCCTTTAATGCAGTTTGTCTGTTATAATCAGTACTGTTGTGTTTTTCTTTACGCAGTGTTTGGTTGATAAATACCGTGATGAGTGATTTGTTTCCCCCTCCTGTTTGCTTTTTTTTGCCCGCGCGCGGTGCCGGCCTCATTGCTGTGCGTCCCACGGACTGCACGAAAGGAGGAGCGGAGGAACAGGCCGGATGCTGCAAT